ACTGATAAAGCAGGATTTTCTTCAAGCGCTGCTTCAAAAAGCTTTTCATCAAACTCAACTGGACGTCCGGTTCGATCTTCATCTTCAAGTGTGAAATCTCTACCTCTGAATTTTGCAAACCATCTACTGCAAGTTCTTTCATTCACACATTCCTCTCCATAAACTGAGTGAATGTTTCTAGCCGCTTTGGCTGCTGAGTTTCCTTTCTTGAACTCATAAAGCATTATAAGCCTCAAATGATTCTTGGGTACTTCCATGTTAGAAGGGTTTTAATCAAACACAATTTAATTTTATTCTTCTCTGAAATAAAATTTGATCTGTTTAAATGCATCTAAACATAAAAATAATGTTCAGCTCCATTAGACATTATAAAATACTCTTTAAATTTCGTTCATTTTAACAAAAATGTAAAATTCGGACAGAACTTATGGGATGACCTGATAGATAATTCATTTTATTAACCTCGATTTAGCTCTGTTGAGCGAGGTTTGAAACCGGTTAGCCTAGCCCGTTTTTCTATTGTACTTTTTATTATCATCATGAGTGGTAATAATAAAACTAATTTTTGTCTGTTTATGGCAGTGATAAAATTTTGTACCAACAAACATATCTTATAACAAGTATATTATTTTTGGTTTTAGGCCTTTTTTCTTAGCCTTTGTATTGCATGAGACTCTTCTGTTTTTTTTTCTGTATTTGCTCCTTAATGATATTTTTTCATGTATTCTTCTCAGTGTCTCCGCGATTTTTTCCTGTTTAAAGCTTTGTTCTACTTTGGAAATAACATGTAAGAAACAAGGAAGTCTCAAAGAATGTAGGAACTCCAAAAGTATTATACTTACACTCAGAAAGTGACAGCTGAAATTTCTGAGACATAATGAAAAAGAGGCCGTAGAGAATTAAAAACTCACAGGAGACACTGACGGCATTAGAACTAGATTAAACTTTTAGTAAACAACATAATTGTACAAGTGGGTATTAAAAGGAACAGTGAAACACGAATGGTTCTTTAGACAGGGCCTTGTGGATACGCACATAGAAGAAGAAGAAGAAGAAGAAGAAGAAGAAGAAGAAGAAGAAGACAAAGTAAAAGAAGAAGACAAAGAAGTACAAAACAAAGAAGAGAGAAAAAGACAAAGAAGAAAAAGAAGAGAAAGAAGAAGACGACGAAGAAGACAAAGAAGAAGAAGAAGTTGAAGAAAAAGATAATAAAGAAAAAGACAAAGAAGAAGAAGAAAACAAAAAAGACAAAGAAGAAGAAGACAAAGGAGAAGAAAACGAAAAAGAATGCAAAGAAAGAAACATAGTATGAATAAAGACAAAAATAAAATTTATTTTAATCGACGCGTTTCGTCCTTTGAATGCAAATGTAAGGATTTTATTTAGCAACAAGAAGTGAGATATTTAGACAGACGTAAAATTATCGTTATTTTCTTTTCAGAATTTTAAAATTAAGGGCACTGATAAATATACTTCAGGCTAACTGGAAGTCAAGTTAAACTATGGATGTTGCTACGTGATGTAATTTAATGTCTAATAAACGAATGTGAGTAAATCTTTTTATTGATTTACTTGATTTTTATTACTATTTGATTATTATTTATATTATTTATTTTGTGATTAATCTATATATTATATATTTTAAATAACAGAAGGTTTTTTAATTTAACCGTTTTCATTTCACTTAAAAAATATTGACTTGGGTAAGAGTATTACATTTAGGAGAGGAAATATTTGAAAAGAATCAGGTGGCAGATTTATATTTTGGTAAGATTCGATAGCAACACTTTCAAGAATTTTTCGTCATAGACATATATGAGAGTTGTTTGCTACATTCAGCTAATGCTTTATGTTTGGAGAAATCATATAATTTTACTTCTTCCTTTGATAGTTATCTCTAACAATACCTCAAAACTAATGAACTAATCTGTTTTGATTGCCAGTAAAAAAAGAAAAGACAAATCAAAGATGCTATTATCTTCAGAAAGAATAAAAAAGAGAGAAAGAGAGAGATTTGATAGAGAAATTGATTACACATTCATGTGCTTAACATCTTCAATGAAATGGAAAAAAGAACTTGTTTATTGTAAATCTATTAATTTGTACTCTCTTGCCACTTCAAACAGCATGTCAAAGTTTGTAGCAGAATTTCCAGCTCTGATGTTTGCTGTATAAGGTCCGATTATGTCATTATGTGTAAATTGTTGAATTTAATAAACTGACAAGTAATAAGATTATTTGAGCAGAGTAAATTATTTTATATATCAAGAGGATACGAACTTACTGATCGTAATTATAATGACAATATAAACGGTTTCCTTATAAGGAAACATTCAACATTCACTGACCAAGCAGCTAGTCCTACTTTCATATGAAATTTATTAAATCTTTCTGTTAAAAGAATATTTTAGGAAAATAGATTTCCGTTATAAACAAGATTGTAATTTCACACATCGATTGACATCTCTTTTAAGTCTCCAGTCATGTTTAATTACGATAAAAATAATGTTGGCTCAAATCTAATTTGAAATTATTCGCATTGACACTGCAGTGAGTTAGAAACATACAATGCTCCTCATTTTTAGGAACATGTCTAATTTAAACTTTTTGCATTGCATGCAGGAAGCTGATAATGTAATCACGATCAAGGTGAAAAAATAAAATCTTTAAGCTAGGTTCAAGTTCCGGCTAAAGCTGTTTAGGGCTACTCTCAATAATGCCCTTACGACAGGCGTCATTTCGTCACTTTTTCCCCCCAATCTATGGCTAAATAATAAGGTAACGATGTCTCATTAGCATTTGTAAAACGGCCATGAAAACAAAATCTAGTAACGTGGAGATGGTAACAGTTAACCATTTCCCTATATCTCCTAAAAAGACATTGAATATTCGTAGCTGTTAATAAAGTTCAAATATTTTTTTCGTACACATACATAAATACATAAATATATATAATACATATATACTGGGTGTAACAGCAACATTGTCCAAATCGTGTAATAATCCATACCATAAAATTATTAATGTCTAAAAATCCACCAAATTGAATTTCTTTTTTCCCCGGTTTTCAGATAAGACGCTTAGCCATGTTGACACCATTAATCGTAAGAATCACCAAAAAAAGAAAAAAAAAACCTTTGAGTTATTCATTAAAAAAAGAGCAGTTTAAAATTGTTTTTTGTCAGATTCACTGTCTTTCTAACTGAGCAATGGTGAGAGGAAAAAGATAATTCGGGCTTTCAGTAATCGTACCAACTGGCTTCCATCTTCAAAGTCCATTCAAGAACCATTAGGAGAACGGTGAATAAGTTTTAAAAAGAGGGAACAATAGAGAGGAAAACTGGATCAGGAGGCCACAACAAGAAGTGGGATTATCATTTCAACTTAGAGCTAAAGAGATCAATTAGAAAAGATCAAACTCAATCCATAAGACGTTTATCATGGGTTTCAACTATGACAGTCTAAAGAGCAGTGAAGAAAGATTTTAAACATAAATCAAACGTGAAACGCGTGAGTTACGTTGTTACTCCAGGGCAGAAAGTTAGAAGGTTAGAGAGGGCAGAGCGTCTTGAATGAGTTGGAAAATGATCCTGGAATTATATATATATATATATATATATATATAACACCCTTGAGCGCTTAGCTTTGGAGCGGGTAGAATGGAGATCAACGTGTTTTAGTAGACTCAACAATTTTCAATCTGCTTGTCGGAATCATCTCCAAGAAGCGAGAGCAAGATCTAAAAGGTTACCCAATCTAACAGTGATCTCATTTCACAATCCTCACTTGCTCCATATGTGGCCTCCTTTGTAAGTCATTAGCGGATCTTAAATGCCACTTAAGATTATCGCACAAACTTTCATAACTGAATCAATAAGCTGTTAGATACTCATACGTCGAAACCGACGGAAGAGTCCATCATATATATATATATATATATATATATATATATATATATATATATATATATGTGTGTGTGTGTGCGTGTGTGTGTGTGTGTGAAATTTTATTTCAACCCGGCATGTGCTTCCGATTCTTAGCTATGATTAATTAATGATAAACACATGCATGTCATGTTCTTTTATGATCGATTTCATCACGATTTTTCTGTTAAGCTTGAAAAGTAATTATACATTCTTATTGCTCAAAGTAGAATCCAATAGTGTTATCAAAACCGATATATATATATATATATATATATATATATATATATATATATATATATATATATATAGTGTGTGTGTGTGCATAAATTGTAAATATTGATTTCTACGTGTATATTTCACTGTCTATATCAACGATTAATCTATTTCAGATATTGAATACTCTTCTTGAATAATATAGCAAATTTTGAACCATTCATTAACACACATTTTCGATTTTCGAAGAGTAACGTAGAGGTGGCACAAGGTAAGTATGGAGCACTCAGTGAGTATCACTCCTTAATGTTAACTAATATAATAGCATAATCCACATGCAAAAAAGAGGCTAAAAATAATAGAAGCCTTATTATTAAAAACAAACAAACCAACACTTAATAATATTAACTTTGAACATGGACATAATATTTTGACCGTGTTTCGAAACAAAAAAAAAGAAAACATTTTATAAAAAATACAACAAACTATTTCTAATTTTAACAGTTAAAATGTAATCCTTGAAAATGGGTAAATGTATAGCCGAAAGCGCTCGGATAAAAAGGACATTCGGACAGTTTTTATATAATTTATAATCCAAAAAGAAAAATAATATTAGGTCGCATGAGAAATCGTATAAACAACTAAATAAAAGCACGTTGCCTGTCATTTTTAATGAAATGTGCAGGAAAGAAGGATTGCTGCCTAAACACACACACACACACACACACACACACACACACACACACACACACACACACATATATATATATATATATATATATAAACCAAGGACGTAAT